AAGCACAATGTCATGATCTTCTTCAACGGGCCTGGGGGATTTGGCTGCTGCGACTGCTATGGCGGCAGTGCTTTGAATCGGGGGTAGATCATCACGAAACCTCTTTGGTAAGCGACGCCGACGGTTGGGCAACCCAGAAACCCGGTACTCGGGTGACAAGGGTTCGGCAGGCACGACATCTGCCACATCCTGACACCATACATATGTAAGATAATACTGTGTTTCGAATTAAGTATTGAAAGGCGCCTTACTATGGTTACTACATCATCACTAATTGTTTCATTTGCCAGCTCCATGTATTTAGCCTGTTCCTTCTGCAGTGCCTGGTTTGCTTGATGGGCAGTACGTCCCTCCTTCCGCCTTGAAAGGATAGACTTTGCTGCCTGTGATATCTTGAATTTACAGGCTCGTTTGTGATTACAAAGGGCAGTCCTGTTCTTGAATGAACGATTACATCCTACACATGCAAAAGCAGCCATTATAACAAAGAATACAAGGAACACACGCTGCGTGAGCATGGACCATGCAGATACAATCTACTGCAACTTGTTGCAATGTAATACAATCAATGGTGGAATCAGGGCAGTGGGCGCCAGGAGTAAAGGCAGGGGTGTGAATTTAGTCTCCGCTTGAAATGCCACTTCACCATGTAGTGCGGCTCATTTCGTATTCTCCTATCACCATCATGCCTGGAGGCATCATGCTCAACAATTCCTTTCAAAAGTTGCTTGATAGTCTGTCTAACCCAAGGCAAAAGAGGTACATTCATTGTGTTTATATGAGCATAGGACTCCCCAGCTGATGACTTTCAGAGATGCAATGTCACCATTTACATCTGCTGCGTTTTTCTTCCCTATGAGTATGGACCCCTTTGTGGATTTTGAACGAGTGCTCTGGGATGGGATCCAGAATGAGTTTCCAGATCCACTTGAGGAGCCAGATGAGGATTCCACTGCATACACATATGACTAATGCCCTGCTTGTGACGCACTGCACTAACATTGTTTGCATTTGGCAGTCAGAATGAGAAAGACTATCGCACTTTATCAGAATTTCATCTCGCATATTGATAATGGAAGTGAGCTTGTTTCAGGCTTTGAACATGAGCGCGACTCACTTTCTACTTTCATCGATGAGGTAGGTGCATATATGCACTTGACATGTCTCAAACTCACTAATTTTCATCCAGCTTGTTGCTGCTGCTGCTCGGTCGCGAACAAATGACACAGGAAGCCTCAAGTGGGACGTGCTGACATATATGCTTGAGGACCCCACGACTCAGTCTGTGAAGCCACCAATCTGGAAGGGTGACCCCAAGTCAACCCGTGGATGGAACCATCCTCTTACTGCACGGAACCTCTGCCCAATTGTACACCTGGAAGAGTTTGATAGAAACCCTCAGTATGTCTACCTCAACTTCGTTTCCTTCTGCTCATGCAGTGCATATGATCAGACTATTCATGAACCAGGTTCACGATGGGACACGAAAAATCACACATCGCAAGTTTCCAGCTTGCCTCTACGACGTGAAAATGTTTGACCCAAACAACAAGAAGAAAGGGTTTCTCCGAAGCCAAGGTTTAGTACGGGTATGTATTCATGTGAACTTGAAAATTGTGTGCGAGCTTGGCTGAAGTCTTTACTGGTAGACCTTTCGTCACATTTTCACAAGTCCATCATCTGCACTGGACCCAACTCGCAGAGGCACGAAAACCCCGCAAGGTGTAGCACACGGCCTGCCTGACCCAACACCTCGCACAATTGCGTATGCTGCGATACAGGTCACCTTATGGAGTTACGGCTCTTATTCTCTCTGTCTGCTAACTCTTGTTTCTCAGTACTACTTTGCGCTCAGCTCCGCCGAGCAGTGGACATCTGCAATTGGTGGTGTTGACCTTTACGAACTCTTTCTCAAGATTGTCAAGGTCTTGGAAGATGAACCAGACCATCCATGGACCCAAGAGACGCTTCACTGGTGGAATAAGTATGTACTGCATCCGAAGAGTGTTATCACGGTCAACTAGGTTTACTCGCATTTGAAGGCAGGTGCCTGGCCTCAGCCAAACTTCCAAGCGAAGGCGACCAATCTCAGCAGCAAACTCGGATGACTCATCAGAGGATGACGACATGGACTCTTTCCTTGACTCCCCGGTTGCGGGTCGCCAATCTCGTTGTACTGAAGAACATGTGCAGCACTCAATTGACAGTCGCAATGGGCCTCAGGTTACCATGTCTCCCACACCCATGGTTCATGTATCTCGCGACGATGAAGGTACTCTGCCACCCAAGAACAGCAGCGCCAAGGTAGCAGTACTTGCAATGTTCTGCTTCGGATCAATCCATTGGCTTACCATGGTCTGCAGATCCAACCAAGCTTGGGAGATGATGCCCATTCAGTGCCACAACGTAACGACTTCGATCCACCTGACCATCGCACCAGCTTCCATCCCAGATCACCTCCAGGGCCTAGGCCCAGTCACAGAAATTTTCACCATGACCCAGGTAATGAATGCGAGACCGTTGGGAGCCCACTGACGGATCCTGAAGCTACTGAGACCATACGAAAGGACCCCACTCCAGAGCCCACTACGACCACGAAGAAATCTCAAGGTGGCAGTGCTGGTCAGCGCTCGAAGAACAAGGCTGAGCCACCACGTAAGCGTGTCAAGCGCAAGTAGTCCCAACACTGCCTTCATTTCCCCTACTTTGTTGTTCGAATGCTTCCCTCTTATACCTTGTCATCGTTTATTCCTGTAACTGGTGCGTGGCTGCTCATTTCGGGATGCATTGAATGTTGTACTAGCGTTGTCGGCTTCTAACTTGCTCTCAGTGGACTGCATCATCATGTAATGTATACCATGCAATAGAAGTCATTGCATTCATATGAAATCCAGTGGAACGTGTGATAAAGTATGGCGAGGAATACAATTCAACATACTAAAATGCATCGAATGGCACCGAGATACATGGCTATAAAATATCATGTGCCAATGGATGGGTTGCGACCCTTATGCACACTGTATTTGGCCGCTTGTTATAGTGCAATACATTGTTGTATATAACGGAGACAGTACTATGTATCAGTTGTACTGAATTTTAGGACATTGCAGTAAGTTTTACGACCTTATATTATGCGAGTGGTTTTGTTGATGCATGGACTGACTGAGTCGAGTAGGTGGACAGACCAGAGCTCCCGGATCTGTAGCGTCTGCTCTAAACTTCCGTGACCCGTGAATCCACCCCGATTCGGAAAAAAAAAACATCACAACCCATATGCAGCAATGACCCCTATATATTAATATAATATGCATGCAGGCGGGCGCGTTTGGAATACGATCGGTTCGTCTGTTCTCATTTACCATGAGCGATTCACGTCTGGCGTCACCTTCGCGTTCCGGTGCCACATCCACTCGATTCTACCGGGAGGACCGCGTCTCGGACTAGCCATGGATACGGATTCTCCGACATTCCCGCGCATGGCAGTTATCGTAGTACCGCCCGCGGTCTCCCCATCACCGGTACCGCTCTCTGCTATAGTCCAACCCAGAAAAGCAAAGACCATTGACTCGCATTCCACAGTTTTCGTTCTGGACCCCAGACGAGGACATCGGCGACGCCGATGACGATTTCAGAATCATTCGTGCCGACCCGATGGGCTACTACGTTCAGCGACAAGAAAATGGACGGTGTTTGCGCTCCTGTCGGATATTGACGAGGTGTGGCGGGTGCAATACTGAGGTCAGCATGATGCTCACACGTGAGTCACGTCCAGCTCGTTAATAGTATTGTTAATGTCTGAGAACATATTGGTATCGAGGCAGTTCATCAGGGGGAGATGATGATGGTTTGGAAAGTGTCGTATCGTCCGATCGAGAGAATCTGGCAGGTAAGTGTGCATTAACTCTCGTACTCGTGAGCCAGTTTTGACGTTGACTCGATGCGACGGAAATAACAACAGATCCAACTTCTTCCATCTCGCGCTGACACTTCTGATCCCCTACGTTCCCGCTGGAACAGCTTTTCAACTTCCATGACCCAGCGCGTGAAGGCTTTGAAGCGTAGGGATGTGATCATTCAGATTTAGAAATGGACTGTGCGGATGGACGTTCGGTTTAGATTGTGAAATGTGATTGTGAATGATTCTTGTGTCGTGTCGACCGCGTAGGGTAGACTGCAACCAAAAGAGCGTAATCGTGTTGACCCGGTCCAGACCGTGAGGCCCATTTCCATGTGTATATACGCAACTTGAGACTTGGAGTTCGAATATGTAAGCGTGAAGATTGAAACGAGGAGCCGATCATCCGATCAGTTTCGTTTACAGAGGGCAACTTGCATATATGGATGGGGGATATGATCGATGGTACGCTGGAGCTGGCTCGATCAATTGTATTTTTTCCGCGCTAGCTGCCCGTCCTAGAGCCCTGTAGAGACACGAGCATCGGCTGTCGGAAAACAGATTCTGGAGAGCGCTGGCTTATCCGCATTTGTCGCTGGGCGAATGAAGGTAGGGGTAAAATACTGGAAGTACAATCGCTGATCAAGACGATACCAAATGTCTCGGACCTCTTAGACATCATCTCTTCATTGTAGCGCTCCGATACGATAACATTTACTCGCTTCATCAGCTTCGGGCGTGTATATGCGTCAGTCTTACGCCAGGATTCAAAAAGGGCCATAAGTGCGAAACTCGCCATGTTCTGATTGTCCCCTGCTATGGAATGGGAATGGTGAGGTATGCCGGCGGGACTTGCGCCTCTTTCAAGACTGTCCAATCATGTTAGCAGACCTGAAGGATTCAGTTCGCTCACATGTCCGACAGAAGTGCCACACTTACATATTAGCACGCATGTTCCCTCAAACTCGGACACGTTATTCCGCGAATAGAAAGCAATGGACACCTCATTGGTCGCAGGCACGGAGTCATTATGTGGTAAACGAAGCATCGCGAGAATCGCAATGCAAATAAGTGAATGTTGACGGGCACAACCTTTCCAAATGCTTCGATCCAGACTGAGAGTTTCGATCCGCGTTGGATATAAAATAAGATCGAAGTCAGGACAACGGACAACGGGTCTGAGCCTCAAGGTTGTTGAACTCACAAATGCAGGTTTGCCAGTTATGCACTTGCGCAAGGGTAAGACATCGCTGTCTGACTCGTTCTCAAAGGGTATTTGAACATACCCTTGTTTGACAACGACGATACAGATCGGTAGCTGGTGTCCGACGTCCAACTGCTCTGTACATAAATTTCCGAGGGCACACTGCAACAAAGGTCGGCTGCTCCATTACGTAAGTAGCAACATCCCTCTTCCTGCCATCTCCCGGTACTGTCAGCGTCGCTCAGCGTTCAGTTACAAACAAGACGTTCCTCGATGAATTCGGGTTCTCCAAACACATCCTTAATCCTCTTGTCTGACGTCACCTTTGCGTGGTGGGCGAAAACATGTGGGTAGGCTTGTTCGCGCTCTGCAGTTCCGCAGGCTGTCTGGCCAACCCGTTGAATAGCAACGGCCAGAAAGATATCCGCAAGAGTTATGTTGTCGTTGACAAGCAACCCAGAAGGACGTTTCTCCAGGTAGTTATCGAGGAACCTGATGGAACGTACGATACGCTCTTCATGCCATTTGTGTCGCTGCTCTCGCGATAGCCACAAGGTTCAGGAGTCGGGAGAATTCAGTGTGGAAGTAACAGGTATGCTTACGTCTGCATTATACCCAGGCAGCATATTCAGGCCAGCACCGGCGTATATCATGCTTGCGTCCATATGGATCTCGAATTCAGTAAAGTGGACCCACTGATCTACGAGCGCGGTTTCCTCTGCATTGCGGCCCAGCAGTCCTGCGTCTGGAACGAGAGAGCTCACTGATCGATATTAGTGGTCGGTCCAGATTTTTGGGAATAGCTGTCAGCTCACCATAACGTGCGATGACTGCGCCCTCTGTCAGTTTGAACCCATTGAGGCTTTCGAAGGCAGGGATCTTCCCCAGTGGAAATTTCTGTATAAACTCGGGGGATTGGTTCGTGACGCCGTATTCAAACGGTAAGAGATCGATTTCGAGGTTGGACAATGCCGCTACACTCATGATCTATCATGCAAATGAGCAGCGATATGCCATCGCGGTCAGCAACCTACCACTTTTGTTTGAGGTTGGAGGATATGGCCATACAACTTTCCGATGAGAGTCATATTTGTGTGGAGATCTTGTAAGGTGGGCAGGGCTTGACGTCCAGCTTTATACGTATGCATACGGTTCTCGGTCTCTTGCTCGGTGACCGGTGCTTACGAACATGCACACCGTTGTCTGGTCCAACGTGATGTACGTCTGAATGCTTAGTGCGCGCCAAAGCCTGCGGCGCAGCTGTGGTTTTGGCTTGGTAAGTTGCGCAGGGGAAGGGTGCATATGTTAAAATAGCAACATCCCACTGCGCACGTAGCCGCAGGGCATGGTGCGAGTTGAAGCTCTGGTAGCGAGTGCCATGTTCCATGAGCTTGGTGTTACTGTACTGCGCACTTAACGCTTCAACACAGCTTGTCAGCGTTAATTCGCAGTCCGTCATCTCATTCCCACTGAGTGTGCTTGCCTGCCGGCAAGGCGTTTTTGCCCAGACTGCAGCGGAATTTCTTGGCACCTCCACCCCGTATTCATGGTCTCGCTATCTTCCGAAGATGATCCTTCTGGATTACGAACTGAAAGTCTGGTGACACTGGTATGTGTAGGACCACTGTTTGGCTGGATCACCGGTTAGCGCTTCAGGTTCGCTGCACGTAGGAGATTCGTGCTTTTTGTTTCCCATACTCAGCAACATCATAACGTGAGTGTTGTGTTCACTTCTCCCCGTTGTATTCCAGGGGAGTACACGATCGATCACGAAGCTCTCTATTCCAATCAGGTTGACTTGTGGTCCTTCACCTTTGTTTACCGTTGCGCAGTGACATTCAAACAGCAGGATGTGTCAGATTGAAACCCAATCGGACATTTAGAAATACGTGACAGCAAATTATTATCCATAACCAGACAATGGATAACCATCAACCTTTTCAGTGGGCCTTATTAGATGGATCACAAAAAATCTACCTTTCCGCATACCGGCACTTCTCTCGACAGAAGACTAAACTATCTCCACAATGATGTCCGTCTGCATAGCAGTGGAAATACACAAGATTTATCTCCATCTTCGTTAATATTCTATCTAAGCACAGAGCCAATCACTCGGCTCTGAAAGCAAGAGGCTCATTGACGAATCCAGGCTCTCCAAACACATGCTTGATCCTCTCGTCATTGATTACTTTCGCAAAGTGAGCGAATACGCGGGGATAAACTTGTTCACGCTCTTTAACACCACAGACTGTCTGGCCTGCACGCTGCACGGCTGCGGCGAGGGTGATATCTGCAAGTGTTAAACCGTCGTTCACCACTAAGCTAGAAGGACGTGAAGACAGGTGGTCTTCTAGGAACTTGAGCGAACGTTCAACGCCTTTCTGGTAGTGTTTATGTTGCTATGATCGGCAAAGTCATTGAGATCTATGAGTCAGCGGACTGCGACGCGAGACAAACGAAGCGAAGCGAACCTCTTCACTGAATCCCGGTAGGTACTTCATGACAATGCCGGTGTATATGTTGTTTGAAGGGATTAGGATTTCAGTCTCTGCAAAGTGGACCCATTGGTCTATCTGGGCGCTTTCCTTCGCATTGCGACCAAGAAGGCTGGCGTCAGAAACGAGCGAGCTCACTAACCGTCATGATCAACATCGATGATTACAGATGAGCGATCACTGACTAACCGTAACGAGCGATGGCTGTACCCTCGGTCAGCTTGAATCCTTCGTTATCTTCGAAGGCAGGGATTTTGGCGAGAGGGAACTTCTGGGAGAACTCGGGTGACTTGTTCGTGACGCCGAACTCGAATGGCAGTAGATCAATCTCGAGGCCTGAGATAATTCCAGTGCTCAGAATCTAGTACGTCGAGCGGACGTGAGACAAGCTTGTAAGTGGTCAAACAACATGACGCGAAACGTACAACTTTCGTCTGAGGCTGGCGAGGGTGTCCGTAGAGCTTTCCAATGGGTGTCATCTTAAAATCGTGTAGCAGATGAGTTTGTTGGAAAATGCGCACTTCCTGGAGAACACTTTATATCCATGTCAGTCCAGCAAGATTGGTAATGGCCGTTCTTCTGCTTCCTGTGCGTACATCATGACGCAGGTGAAGGATCTGCTAACCTCATCGGCACCTATTCCCATTCCGATAAAATGAGCATCAGTAATCGCATCGCTACGTCGTCCAGCAACTTCCCCGGCTGATCAATCAATGCGTGGCGCAGCGCCGCGAAGTTTTTTTCCCCCTGTATATGGGTAAGACTGTATGTCCATAGCACTTTCGAGGTTGCATGCATTGACGGATTGGTAAGACGACTGGTCGTACTATTTTCGAACCTGGATGATCAATCTTATGCTGTGCAATAATCAAGGGCCCACACGAGCCCCGCGCGGCTGCAGTAGTTACCATGTCTGTTCGCCTCGCACACGGCGGTCTTACTACTGGAAGGAGATCCAAGCCGCCATGCTGACTGAGCACGAGTACTCCCGTGTGCCTAGGTAAGTATTAGCCTCTGGATATTGGCGGAAACATCCACGAGTCTTTGTCATGCCCTCAAGGCCACGTAGGTTCTTGGCAACTCTATGATTGAAGTACCAGTCTCACCCTGCATCTTGGTCAGCTTTCACGAACCTGCCCATCATCGATCAAATTCAGACTCTTCGCGAGTAATTGACTTCCGGCCAGACCTGAAACAGAGCGGAATAGACCGTTCACTTACCACATGGAAGCGCGGCCTCTTACAAAAGCCACAAATCACCACTATGCGACCCCAGCATCCATGTTCCCTCAAACTTGGGCAAGTTGTACTTGGAATATCATCCTCACCGTTAACCATGCTGATGGGCTCTACCTCAAGGAGAGCAACGGACGCATCGTTGGTAGCAAGCAGGAGGTTACGTGATTCATGAAGAATCGCAGGAATCGCGATGCATACGCGTGGATTGACGGCACCTACCACGACAAATGATTATGGAGTGCGGATTATGCGTACTCCCGCTTTCCTGAGACGTTTGTGTTAACAGGTGCAAGTTTTCCAAGTATTCGACCCGGAAAAAATAACGTCGAAGTCGGGACAATGGACAGCGGACAAGGAGTCTGAACTTCAAGGTTAGCGTAAGACATCGCTGTTTACGCATTCTCGAAGGGGTAGGGTAAGCGACCATGAGAAACGGCATTTGAAAATATCCTCGCTCGACAATGACGATAGCGTGTGGAAACACATTGATAGTGGGTGTCCAACTGCTCTATAAATTTCCGAGGGCACAACAAGTTTGACTGATTTATTACATAAGTGCCAACATCTTTCTTTCTGCCGTCTTCTGCTGCAGGCGTCGCTCAGTGTTCAGTTATACACAAGACGTTCCTCGATGAATCCGGGCTCTCCGAGCACATCCTTAATCCTCTCGTCGGACGTCACCTTTGCGTGGTGGGCGAAAACGTGTGGGTAAGTTTGTTTGCGCTCCGCATTTCCGCAGGTTGTCTGGCCAGCCCGTTCAGTTGCAACGGCCAAGAAGATGTCCGCAAGAGTTATGTTGTCGTTGACCAGCAAACCAGAAGGACGTTTCTCCAGGTAGTTATCGAGGAACCTGAGGGAACGTACGATACGCTCTTCGTGCCATTTGTGTCGCTGCTCTCGCGAAAGCCACAAGGGTCATGATTGGGAAGAATGCAGTGCTGGAAAATCAGGTATGCTTAGGTCTGCATGATACCCAGGCAGGAGCTTCAGGGCGGCACCGGCGTATATCATGCTTACATCCATATAGATCTTGAATTCAGCAAAGTGGACCCACTGATCGACGAGGGCGGTTTCCTCTGCATTGCGACCCAGCAGTCCTGCATCCGGAACGAAAGAACTCACTAATCGAGGTCAATAGTTTGTCCAGACTCAGTTCAAGGGTGTCCGTTCACCGTAGCGTGCAATAGCTGCGCCTTCTGTCAAATTGAAGCCATTGAGGCTTTCGAAGGCAGGGATCTTTGCCAGTGGAAACTTCAGTGTAAACTCGGGGGATTGGTTGGTAACGCCATATTCAAACGGTAATAGTTCGATTTCGAGGTTGGACGATGTTGCTACGCTCAAGATCTACCATCCAATCGACTGAGCGATATGCATCGCGGTCAGTAACGAGCGGGAAACCTACCGCTTTTGTCTGAGGTTGGGAGCCATAGCCATACATTTTTCCGATGGGAGTCATAATCGCGTGAAAAGCTTATGAGTTGTAATAAGCAGGGCTTTACCACCAACTTTATATATGGCTCTTGATCACTTTTCAGGCGACCAATATCAACTAACATGTTACTCGATGCACCCTGGTGTTCGCCTGAATGCTTGGCACGCATCAACGCTTGCGGCGTAGTCGTGGCCATGGTATGGTAAGTTACACAGTAGGAGGTTGCATGTGTGGGAACAGCTACACCTCACTGCGCGCGCAGCCGCAGGGCTTGGTATGAAAGTGACACTGGTAGTGAGTGTCGTAAATTGCCAAAAAGTCACTCTGCACCATCAGCTTGGTGTCAGTGCGCTGCGTGCTTACTCCAGCACATCTTGCTGGAACCCACCACAGTAGGGGTGAGCACACTCAGGACGAATCACAACAAGACAGAACGTGGACAGGCGTGTGGGATTGAACAACCAAGCGTACGCTCTGATACAGGATGATAAAGAGAGAAGGAAGAGGGAAAAGAAGATATCCCTGCGCATACATGTAGCACCGATATATATACCCCCAGGATCCAAACAGTGCAACACAGCGAGAGGGATCCGCATGCCCAGACAAGGAGATAGGAGATGTGATAGCGCGGTGCGACAGGAGATGTGACAGCGTGAAGCAGTAGCGTGAGCGTGAGTGATGCGTGAGTGGTAAGTGTACGCTTACACTTGCTGGCATCAGTGAGAACAGCGCTACCATGCCTGTGGGAACAACCAACAACCTCAGGGACCAGTGTTCCCACAGGTATGATTCTCATGTCCCACAGGCATGGTAGCACTGTTTTCACTGATTTTGGTCTCATTCAAACCACCTAATTCAGAGCTTTCAGTAGATACTACATACATTCAAATTGATGGAGATTTCAAAGAGATATTGTGATTTTTCTCTCAGAGAGTGTGTATCACACCAATGGCTCAATATCTCTGAATTTTGAGACATTTTCTAGTCTTCTTGGCTTAGATATATCATCCACTTAGTATTCCTGAGTTGTCTTAATAGATTCCATTCTCTTTTCATTCTTCAATGCTGTGTATGGTCAAAAAAAGCAGACAGTAGATTCCTTCCAGAAAAGTCACAAATAGTCACAATAGTCACAAAATAGTCAAAGTGTTAATTTCCTGGGGATAGGTATGAGTTGGAATGAAGTGGGATAGGTGAACTGAAAGTCTGGAAAATAAAGATGGACATATCAGATGTCAGTGAAGTACAGGGCATGTGAAAACCAGACTGGCAAGAAGTAAATGAGAAAAACAAAGGATGAGTATCTTCCAACAGAATGAGGGTATATCATACCATGGTGTAAGAAGCAAGATGTGAAGCTCATAGGGGGATCAGAAGTGCCAAAGGCAGAGCACACAAGTATGGAGAAAGGCTTGAATAATCTGTTTTGGCCCCAGGTGTCATGACCGTGCATTTATCCTAAGTCCCCACTTGCTCTGTGCCCCACTCTGCTGGTCTTTCCACTCACTTGACACCAACTCTGCCTGCCCTCTATCACTTATGAACCTTCTCTGACCTGACTTCTGTCAGACTTGGTACCAGCCACTGTTGGAATGTGCAGACCATCCCCTAAGAGATCATGTGACTTCCTTTGGACTTCTCCTTGACAGTGCACAGTCAGGTACTCCACAGTGTGTGCACTGCATGGTCCAGCACCTGGACTGTTTCCTTTTTGGTTTGTTGTGTGTTACCCATCACATGTTTTCTGCCTTCCCTTCATTCATTGTCTAGGAGGTTTTTACTTGAAATTTTACAAGTCCCCATATGTCAGTTCCAATTCCAGCTGCTGTACCTCTGTAGCAGTATAAAAGCATGTACCATACTCTGCTGTTCCTCAGTACAAATATCAACTTAGTCCCTACTCTCCCCTGACCTTGTCTAGCATTGGAGTTGGTGGAGTAGACTTGACAGTATATTCATACTCACACCCTGTACAATCTTGTTTCCTGTCCTCTGAAAAACTTACACCATTATGAGAACTTGAGCTCAATCCCCAAAGAGAGTTTGCCAACAACCTCACTACAGCACTGGCCAATCTGCTGTGGGGAGCTGGTATCTGCTACCTAGTATGGGGTTGTGGGCTCCAGCCTAGGGATAGGCAATCTGAGGGGCTGAGTTCAAACCAAGGGGAGTTGCTCTAGCTGTAGGAGGATGGTAGGGAGTGGATGCAACTGAGTCACACAAGTTGATCAACCTCCAAATTAAAAGTGTGGTGGATTAAGGGGCACATGGGTGTTGAGCCAGCCCAGAAAAGTGGTGGAACTATGCCTACAACTCAGCACTAGGCAGGGGAAAGTGAAGGGATCATGTTGACATTGTTATTCTGCTTGCTCACTCTGTCTCTAACTTGGGAGCTTCAAGATTGTTATTTTCCCTGCTGATATGGACAGGTATAAGTGTAGCTACATGCAGAGTATGTAACTATAAAGTGAGTGACATCAAAGGTCAAAAGAGTGACAGGAAATGACAGGAATTAGCTGAGATTGACATAATGATGGCCATGAGGCCAGTACAGCATCAGCAATCAAAAGAGCAACTAAAGTAAAGGAAGCACAAGGAAGTGCAAGTGGTCTGAAGGGAAGCAAACAAGAATACAGTGAGAGTGATAGTAAAGTGCTTACATAACTGATAGTGCGGACCTGAAGAGTGCAAGTGAGCAAGTGCAGGTGGCCAGAAAGCTGTTGCAAGTGTCAGAACTTCATTGTGATGACCAAGGGGAGTGTCTAGAGGTCACACAATGACAGGGGAGTGACTTGACCAAAAAGAGTGGAGTATTGGGTGAGCTAGAGCATGGAGGGTGTCAAAGATGCTCAAGGGGGTCACATTTGCATTGCTTCTGTCAGAAGCCTGAAGATGCTTAGTAGACTCCCTATTGACACTATACATGCACTCCTAGTGTAGGGAGATCACTCTCCCCACACCACATTGTCTCCCTTCCATCATAGAATAATTCTAAACCTTTTCTGCTCAATGCCACTCTCACACTGAAGGCAAAAGCACTTTGCAAGCAGGTCATTCCAACCTCCATCCACCAATCTTCCATACTCCATCCCCTCATACTGAGATGATGGACCTGACCCTGATCCTGATGATCCTGATGGTGGTTCCAATGGCAGGGGCAGTGGTGACAGAGGTATCCCTGAAGACCTTGCTGAGCTGCCAGAAGACTCACTCATTGCTCTTGCTAGAGCTGTTCATGTGTTTGCATGGTCTGGTTCACACACTGGGGACTCTGCTCTGAAAACCAAAGTCTGTGAGCCTGACACCTTTGATGGCTCCAACCCAAAGAAACTCTGTGAGCTCCTCATGCAGTGTGAGTTGAACTTCCAAGACCACCCCTGCACATTCCACTCCAACAGAGCAAATGTTGGAGCACAGTATGCTGTCCAGTCTACACTGAGTTGATTACATAATATGTTAGGTAATTAGTTTACACTTCATCTTACCTTACACCTCAGACTTCATCATTTCAAGTCTGAGGTACAGTATTATTCCACTACTAAAGTACACCTTTCTTTACTCACTACCTACATGGTTCTGTGTCTAGGCTAACTTGAGTAGCCTTCTGCTCTCACCCTACCCACAAAAGGTTATGAGCCCTGAGCTCAAAGCACTCTAGTTATACAGCTTTTTGACCTATGAACTCTACTTACAAGTCTCAAGCATCTATGGAAATGAGTAGCTCTACTTCTGCACCACCCTCTGCCTTGTCACTAGGTCCCTCACAAACACTCTCCTCAGCCTCTACCAAGTCTAAAACCCCTCCAGTCAACTCTATGATGTTCCATCACTAGAAAATGATGGCTCTAACTTACACACCTGGAAATACAGAGTTTAGATGGTACTTGATATCCATGGCCTCAAGGAAGTTGTTGATGGAAACTCTACAACTGCTCCTGACCCAAAAAATGACCCTGATGGTCATGTGGACTGGGAAGAAAAGGACCGAGAAGCACATGCCCAAATTACACTCACACTGAAGGATGAACCTCTCAGTGGAGTACTCTATGCCTCAACAGCACATGAGATCTGGAAGGAACTTCATGAGCAATATGAAGGATGTGGAAAACAGACAATAGTCTACCTAATTGGTGAGCTCTTTCATGGAACTCTAACAGGTGAAACCTCTATGCAAAGTCAGCTCATCTCCATGCAGCAGAAAGCACAAGTGATTAAGTCACTTGGCCAACCACTTGATGAATCTCTAGTAGCCATAGCCATGGTATCTCCCTGCCACCCTCCTATTCAACCCTACAAATGATCCTCATGTTGTCAGACAACAAGCTATCTGTCAAAACAGTCATATCACAGGTCTTAGTCAAGGAAAAGTCATGCCAGGTTTCTGAAACCCATAGTGCACTCATGGCTAACACAACTTCTCATCAGAAAGGAAATGCAAAGAATGATGAAAAAAAGAAAGGGAGATGTACTTACTGCAAATATTGTGGGTACAACGAGTCTGAATGTTGAAAGAAAAAGGCTGATGAAACTAAAAGAAATGTGTCAGAAGAGAAAGGCAAAAAGATGGAGGAACATACAGCAAACCTTGCATGTTTTACCTCCAGTAATGATGAGCCTCTTTGCCTCTTTCTCACACAGCAACAAGACAGTTTCCTGGGATTATGCTTGGGTCCTTGACTCCAGTGCATCTCTGAACATCTGTTGTCAGAAAGAATGGTTCCTCATTCCTTGAACCTCTCTCACCTGCTCAAGCAATAGTAACTGCAAGTGGAAACTCAGTCCTTGCTACCACAGTTGGGCAAATCACTCTCAAAATGGATCTTGGCACTGCTAAACCCTATCACATACTACTTCAAATGGTATACTTTGTTCCCCAGATGCATGCAAACCTATCCAGTTGAGGAGTTCAAGTTGTTTTCTCTCAAAACAGCTGCTCCCTGGTTGCAGATGGCCAAGCTATTGGATATGGTCAACTACAAGGTTCACTCTACCTTCTCACAGCAGAAACATACCTACTTTGTGAA